GGTGGCTTAGTCGGTTAAGCGTCCGACTTTCGCTTAGGTCATGATCTCGCGGTTCGTGGGTTCGAGCCCCGCGTCGGGCTCTGTGCTGACGGCCAGCTCAGAGCCTGGAGCCTGTTTCAGTCCGTGCCCCCCTCTCTCTCTGACCTGCTCACGCTGTCTCTCTCTCTGTCCTAGAAATAAATTAAAAAAAAAAAAAAAAACTATTAAAAACAGGGGCGCCTGGGTGGCTTAGTCGGTTAAGTGTCTGACTTTCGCTTGGGTCATGATCTCGCGGTTCGTGGGTTCGAGCCCCGCATCGGGCTCTGTGCTGACTGCCAGCTCAGAGCCTGGAGGCTGTTTCAGAGTCTGTGACTCCCTCTCTCTCTGACCCGCCCCTGCTCACGCTGTCTCTCTCTCTCTCTCCTAGAAATAAATAAAACATTAAAAAAAAAAAAAACTATTAAAAAAAATTGAGGGATGCCTGGCTGGCTTGGTCGCTTAGGTGCCTGACTTTGGATCAGGTCATGATCTCATTGTTTGTCAGTTGGAGCTCGGTGTCAGGCTCTCTGCTGTCAGCGTAGAACCTGCTTCAGATCCTCTGTCCCCCACCTCGCTCAGTGCCCCTCCCCCGCTCACATTCTCCCTCTCTCTCTCAAAAACATTAAAAAAATAAGAAAAAGAAACGTTAAAAAAATAATAAAATCTTAAAAAAACACACAAATGAGTGAAAGAAACCCAACACACACACACTGACACACACCATCCTGTAGGACTCTTAATTGAGTTGGAAAACAGACATAACTAGTATATTTAGAGATGCATCCTTAGGTAATGAAAATGTTTTTTAAAAAAAATAAGCAAGGAAGATGACTGATGTAAAAGTCAGGACAGAGGTTCTCTGGGGGGGGGGGGTGGTGAGGAGAGGGCACGTGGGGGCGCTGAGCTTTCCTAAGCCAGGTGGCCGTTACATGGGCATTTACTTTGTAGTATCTTTTAAAGTTTACTTATTTTGACAGAGAGACAGAGAGACAGAATGGAAGCTGAGGAGGGGCAGAGAGAGAAAGAGAGAGGATCCCAAGCAGGTTCCACAGTGCGGGCCTCAAACTCACAAACGGTGAGATCATGACCTGAGCTGAAATCAAGTCGGACACTTAACCGACTGAACGCCCCAGGCGCCCCTGCTTTGTAATAATTTAAGCTGCACTTTCACGGTGTATGTACTTTTCTACACATGCGTTGTTTTTCACCATTTAGAACAAAAGCTTCATGAAAATTGCTCCGCGAAGCAGAGCTCTCAGAGTTGATTTTGAGACCCTAACAGTTTATGGGGCACCTGGGTGGCTCAGTCGGTTAAGCGTCTGACTTGAGCTTAGGTCATGATCTCATGGTTTGTAGGTTCGAGCCCTGCATTGGGTTCTGTGCTGACAGCTCAGAGCCTGGAGCCTGCTTCAGATTCTGTGTCTCCCTCTCTCTCTGCCCCTCCCCCATTCATGCTCTGTTTCTGTCTCAGTTATAAACATCAAAAAAAAAAGTTTAGATTCTATTTCTCTCTCCTTCCTCAGTCATCTGCAAATGCAGTTTCCATTTCCGCGCCTTCCTACACACCTGTGCCCACCCCTACCGCCAAGCTCTGATCCTCCTCTGGGCCACATGCCCTTCCAATCTGACCCCTCCGTCTGGTCTGACCTCCAGAGCACTCCCCTTGGGATTCCAGAATATCCACAGACCAAGAGCAGAACTGCTCCTCCGTTCCGCCTGCAGAGCCCGGCTGCAGGAGTGTTTTTTCCATTTACCCAACACCGTGCCTCTTTGCTGCGTGCAGACAGACAGACAGACAGACAGAAAGAAGCAGCCAGCACGGGCCAGGAGACCAGAGGCTGGGTGTCACTCCGGGAGACCGGGGCCCGGGCCCATCTGTGACAAGTGCCATGCCGCGGCACCCTGGAGTCTTGGGCTGCTGCTGTGGGGAACCTCTGACGTCTGCTAATCCTATTTAACAGGATTTCTGGGATACAGCCACAGTTCTGCCTAGAAATTCCCTTGGAAGAGCTATTGTTTTAAGCTCGGGTTAGGAAAAAGTGATGCTTCCTGGGCAGATAGCAATGACTCAAAGCCACTTACAGGGCTGATTAGAAAGAGCCCTGGCCCAGGGGCCAGAAGCCCTGAGCTCCCGCCTGCATTTCCCTGCCCTTTCCACAGGCCCCATGTCCTGCCCAGCTCATAGGAATAAATGTACGGAATGTATACGGGGTGGTTTAAAAACCATAATTGCTATATAAATAGAGGGGATTATTAATATAAAGAGCCAGTTTTTGCTACTAAAAGTACCATGGGTTTTAAAAGAGATCACTGTCAAAACAAAGAAAAGAAAAAGGAAAAAAAAAGATCACTCTCATTGATAGAACTAAGATCGATGTTGGCAAAAATCTAGTTATTGGGCGACTGCATCAAATTCCCCCACTGAATCCATTCCTCTCCTCTGCCGGCAGTAAGGGCTCAACTGCTAACGGGCTGGAAACAGACTACAGCCCTTGAACGAAGCCCTCAGAGGCTCGGCGCCTGACCCTGGCCTCCCGAGCACTGTGCTCCAGCCCCCGAGCTGCCTTTCCCAGGCTCTTCCGAAGACAGAATGAAACCCAGGTGAAGGCGGAAGTGGCTGTCTGCCCTGTTCCTATTTAAAAAAAAAAAAAAAAAGCAATCTTTTTTTAGGAGGGGCATTGCACATTTGGATGGTGCTGAATGCCAAGGGGAAAAAAAGAACTTTCCCATTTCCAAGGACGACCCGGGTCCTGGTTTAACTCCTTCTGAACCCATTTGAAAGAATCAGAAAGTCGTTTTCAGAGAGAGAAAGGATCCCAAGCCCCCATGAGGCCCGTCGGTAGGAGGGGGGTGGTGAGGGTTCCCAGTCTCCCCACTCCAGCCGCCCACGCTGGGGACAGAGAGAGTGAACATCAGGCCTGCTTCTCCCGGGAAGCGTCCTCAGCGAGAGTGGGCTGATGTGGTCCTGCTGACCACCTCGAACTGTCTGTGAAGGTCACGTTCCAGGGCCCCGGCCCTTCTCATCAGGCCTGGTAACTGAGTGGCTGGGGACCCACCAACCCTCCGAGAGCCGGCAGCCATTGTCAGAAGACGCCCATCACTGCATGGGGTGAGTCAAGCCTAAAGACAGGGGGACAAGGAAGTGTTCGCTTTCCGGGAACACCGTCTGGAGCGAAAGGAAGCGTCCAAAAGCAATTTTGGCGAGGGTGACACTTCATCACCCGCGTCCCAGCGACCCCGACAGAGCAGCAGGCAGACACTGCCCCCACTCAATCCTTGGCCATACCCTGAGCGCCTTGTTTTATCTAACCATTTCAAAGTGTTTCCAGAATGATCAGCTCACTTTTTATGCCCTCAGCAACCATACACGGTATGTGGGGCAGCTTTCCCACTTTACAGATGGAGAAGGTGAGATACAGCTGCTTGGGGGCAGAGAACAGAGAAGGGTCCACTCCGGCCACATCCCAGCCCAGGGAGCGCTCTTTCAGCCAAACTGAAGAGCCTTCCCTCTCTCACATCCTAAGGCTACTAATTAGCCATCACAGAACCCCAGCTCCATCATGACAGCCCCCCCGCCAAAGCCCACTTTTTCATGAGGACAACAGGTCCAATTAATCATTCCATTATTAAACTTGCCATTTACGGCAACATTCTAAAGATTAAATAGACCTAATTTTTTGAGTCACTGTTTCATGTATCAGTTCAAGACCTGGGTGCCGGTCAACAGCACATCCGTAAGCTCCTGACCAAGAAGGCTGAGTGGCAAACATCCCTTTCTGGCGGTGAAATGACTTATCTATGTGTTAAAGCATCGTAGCAACGGAACAGTGTCAAGGTTATGACGGTGGGGAAGGATGTCTATTATCTCACACCCCCACCCCCCACAACACCCCCTGAAAAGCACGGTGCCAGGCACACACCTCCCTGGAGCCTGGTCATAACCATGTGATGTGTGTGATAATTACACCATCAGTCTGTTCTTCCAGGGGGTGAGGACCCGGACCGTTTTCCGGCAGGGAACAGTATGTATCGGTAATCATTTCCACGTCTTCTTTCTTGAACGTGAACCTGAAATGGGTCACCACACAAACGCGTACACATGTATAGAGACAGAGAGCAGGACAGTTCAAACCAAACCAGAAGAAGAAATGAACAACCATACACCCAGAAGGGAGACGCCGCCATCTTAAAACTGGAAGTGAGATGCTAATTGTACTTTCACTTTTCATGTAGCTCTGAGTTCCCTGGAAGCCAAGGTAAAAACAGAAATACATTGGGGACCCCTGGGGGGCTCAGTGGGTTAAGCATCTGGCTCTTGATTTGCGCTCAGGTCATGAGCTCATGAACTCATGGTTTGTGAGTTCAAGCCGCGTGTGGGGCTCTGTGCTCACGGCTCAGGGGCCTCCTTGGGATTCTCTCTCTCTCTGTCCCTCTCTCTCTGCCCCTCCCCCTCTTGAGCACGTGCAGGCACACATACACACTTTCTCTCTCAAAATAAATAAACTTTAAAAAAATAGAAATACCTCAGTTATGTGGGTCTGTGTACAAAAAAAGGAGATATTTACATTTTTTTAAAATATTTTTTATTTACTTCTAGGAGAGAGAGAGAGAGAGAGAGAGAGACAGCGTGAGCAGGGAAGGGTCAGAGAGAGAGGGAGACACAGACTGAAACAGGCTCCAGGCTCTGAGCAGGCAGTCAGCACAGAGCCCGACGCGGGGCTCGAACCCACAAACCGCGAGATCATGACCTAAGCGAAAGTCGGACGCTTAACCGACTAAGCTACCCAGGCGCCCCAGGAGATATTTACATTTATATTTCATTGATTCTCTGTCAGCCCCCATTCGGCTGTTTTCTTCCCAAAGCACAGGATGGGTGAAGTCTAGTCAGGACACGTGCTTTCAGAAAAAACAGACTGTGGGAAGCTGGACACACTTTCGGGCCGGACCAGGAGAAAGATACGGAGCCCCAGGCTCTTCCTTACCTCTTCCAGTTTGTCCACCCGTCCAATCAGTTTGGTAGTGACGGAGTGTAGCTTCAGCAGGTCCAGGCCGTAGAAAGCTCCTTCCAGCATGTCCACAATGGTAGAGAGCTGCGGGACAGGAGCGGCGCGTTAGTCGAGGGCTGGGGTGTGACGCGCCCAGGAGGAGACGGCTCCCGTCAGGCCCCAGTGCTGGAGGCTCGACAGGGCGGCCACTGGTCAGCCGCGGAGAGGGGGCCCTTGGAAACCGGTGCTCGCAGAGGGGGGCGCATAAACACAACGGTGGAAGTGCCACGCCTCCTGGAATGCTCAGATAAGAAAATGGCAGAGTCCTAGAAAAACAAGTGAAACTGAAGTCCACACGTCTTCACCCAATCGCTTGTACCCCGTTTCTCCTGCTAGCGGTATGTGTGCCTGTCTTTCCTATTAGGCTGTCAGCTCCTTGCAAGTGGTGCCCCATCTGTGTTTCCCCAAGATCTCTCGCACAGCACCTGGCCCGCAAGGGGTGATCTATAAGTACTCAACAAAGCGGCTCATAAACTTTGATGCCTTCGATGCTTCTGAAACACCCAACTTCACTGTGCACCCTGGAGGATACTAACGGTGTTCCCTTAGCGCTAAAAGCTAAACTAACTATGGGGTAAAGGAGACCCCAGGACCCCTGTCTGAGATGGCATGCCGTCTTAGGGCACGGGCCTTCTCAGTGCTTTGAATGCTGTCCTTCCCGCCAGCACTCTGGGAGGACGGTGGCTGAGGCTCCGGGGGTATCCAGGTCACCCAGAGCGCAGGCAAAGGGGCAGGCGAGAGACGCTTACACCGAGCCTCCCTGCCGAGGACCAGCCCCTGAAAGGTCTGCTGGACACGCCTGGGCCGTCTCTGCTCCCCACCCGTCTCCCAGCCTTGCTGGTAGGTGACGAATTCCACCGAAGAAGAGACACCCATGTTCAGAAGCCCCCCCCCCTTCCTCCCCACCAGAGGAAAGCAGCCAAATCGTGGGCGAGAGCCACAGAAAGACGGGTTGTTGGCATGTGCTGTGATGATTTTCTCATCAGCTCCCAATAGAGAATTCTGCCTGCTGTTGTTCCAGAAGCCCCCGATGTCCAATCCTGCAGCCGGGTGGTTCAGAAAGCCGTGCGATGGTGGGGCCGCAGCTCCAAGACACGTCGGACCCCAGGACAAGGTGCTAGAGCCTCGCGCGGCTACCCACCTCCGCGCAGGGCATCAACGACCGCCCGCTACCGGGTGTGTGCCAGGTGCCGGGCACGGCGGCAGCTCTTCACGCTGGTCATTCACCAACAGGACAGTGCCTACGGACCCTGACTGTGCATCAGGCACTGTGCTGAGTCCTCGGCACGGCCACCCATTGGTTCCCCAAACACCGCCCGAGGGGGACGCGGTTATCCCCACTGGCTACTCAAGAAGACTAAGGTCGGCCAAGGTAGGTAGGCACCTCGGGTAGGATTTCACAGCAAAGAAAGGCGGAGCCATGGTTCGAACCTCTGTCTGACTGCAAAACCAGGCCTGTGCCACTACTCCTCCCCCGCCCACCCCCGCCCCCCTCCCTGCAAATGAAACAGGGAGGGCAGAGATCAGAGGAAGCCCTTAGGCAACCCAGGCAGCAGCCTCAGGCAGGCCCGAGCTCCCCCACCCCGTGGGCCAGGACCACAGTCTGATGCCCACCTACATGGGCCCCGGGCCCCAGGCCCCTCCGACCCTGGGTCACCCCGGCCCCTGGGCTGAGGACCCACAGGCTCGCTCCTCTGTGTCCCTCGCCTCCTTAGGGCGCGTGCTGGGCCCACAGCACATCGTGGCAACAGCTCTCCGGGAGAAGAACAGAGTTCTTCCGGCCCCTGGGCCTGGCAGCGGCTCCCAGGCCCAGCCTCCCGGGCTCTGCAGGGAGAGGCAGGTGCACTCCGGTCCCCGCGTCTCCCCTAGACATCGGGACTGCAGACAACGGCTCTGTCAGATCATCAGCCTTGGACACATGCAGCACTCAGGATGCCAGGGCCCGACCTTCACAGGCTAAGACAGGTCTCTAAGGCCTCCCCACCCCGCAGCAGCTTCTGCCGGAGCCCTGGGTCCCGAGGTGGCCTCCCGCCCGTGGCCTCGCCCCACACCGGGTCCTACCTTCAAGTCCCGGCTGTCCGCCGCCCGCAGCTTCTGGAGCCGGAAGTCTCCCTCACAGGGGTTGAGGGCCGACGGGGGTGCGACACAGGCACATTTGCAGGATGAGCCCGTCGTGATGGTCTCCACGGTGTAGAAGTCTTCCTTCCTGGAGGTCCCCTCGTTGACCCTCTGGCAGGCGTCTCGGCCCAGCGGTCTCACCACGCACTTGCACTGACAGTCCGAGCCCTCAGACACGGCCTTGACCTTGTCATAGTCTCCCAGCAGCTAGAGGCAGAGAGAAAGCAAGAGAGCGCTGGGCGTGCAAACACAGGCTCCCAGCAGCCCGGCCCCCAGGGTGGCTCTCCCTCCACCCGGTCGAACGTCCCGCGCTGGCCCGAGACCTCAGACAGCTCTGAACTGCGGAGAGAAGTGGTCATCGGAACACCATCTGCTGACTCTGAAATTTCCTTGAAGGCGCTAGGAGTCCAGCTCATTCGTCTGGGAAAGCTGTGCGCTTCTCAGGGGGCCTTCGCCTTTCATCGTTTCAAGGAAAAAACCCAAATGAGCCCCATCATTCATTCTTCCAACAGCCCTTGCCTTAGCGAGCATCCAGGTTGAGATTTTTAAAAAAAGGGAGAAAGTGGGGGCCGAAGGGAGGATCGGAAAGCTGATATTCCAACCTGAAGGCTACTGGCTTCGATCCTTGTTCAGTCAGTGAGCACGTACTGAGTGCCCATCCGGGGCTCTGGCATGTGGGCTGACGGGCCAGAGAGCCCATCGCAGGCGCTCTCCGTGCAGGAGACACACAGAGCACAGTCATGCCAGGTAAAAGGTGGTAAGTGCCCTGACATGGGGCATTGCGGCGCGGGTGGGGGGGGGCGCGGAGGGGGTCTCAACCTGGCAAGAGCAGCTCCGGCGTATAATCAGAGGAGACTTCCTGGAGGAAGCGGTATCGGATCCGGCCCTCGAAGGACGGCTTCGATTTGGAAAAAGAGAGGCTGAGTAAACCTTACTCAGAGATTCATTTGGCTCCTAGAACGGCTTCTGAACCCAAACCTTAGGCCAAAGCCAGGAGAGCAAATGGGCAGAGCCTGCTGTTTCTACAATGCCAAACATTTCCTCCTGCGCAGCGGCCCCTGCCAGCCTCCCGGGGCTGGAAAACACGCTGTCTAGAGCCACCATCCTTGGGCACTTGCTGGCGGGGGGGGGGGAGCCTCCTTCCTCCCCTGCTCCTCTGCAGACCCTGCGTCCCCAAAGCCACGGAGCTCCCTCTTTCTAGGCACAGAGAAGGGCTCCCTTCACTTGACTAATGAAGCTCGGCAGGCAGGCACCGACCTAGCTGCAGTGGAAATGTTCCCGGGATGCTGTCGGGGGTGGGAGAGGGTGGGGAGAAGGCTCGTAATGTTTTTCTTGCAAAGCTTGGGTTTCTTCTAGCACTAATATTTGCTTTAGAGCTGTTGTCAAATACAGAAGGGCCCCGCGGACGAGGCAGCGGCAGCACAGGGTGGCTGAGGCGGCCGGTCCGCAGGGGCTGACAGTAAATCGTGGCTGAAACTAGGCCGAGGCTCCCCCCCGGAGCCCTGGGTGGACCCCTTCCTTCCCGAGAGTCCGGCTGCAGGGCCACTTGTGCCCGGTCCTCCAGGGCCCCGACACGAAGGACTTTAATGGGCTTTCGGTTCAGGGGACAGTGCAAGGTGGCTCTAGGACAGACAGCAGCATAACTTCCCGAGGAAGGGGAGCTGACCTTCCTCCGGGAAGGAGACAGGGCGCAGTGCAGAGGCTTTGAGGGATGCAGTCAAGGCACCCTCCCTCAGCCGTCCCTCATCTTTAGGATGATGGCAACAGCCACCGCACGTCGCAGTGCTGGCCCTCTCTGGAGAGCACGAACGGAACGCTCCAGAGACCCGTCCCTTCCAGTCGCCTGGGCTGCAGACTGTGAGAGGACCCGGCTCTACCCACCTGGACTACAGAAGGGACACCTGGATGTGTGACCATCGAGTCAGATAGAACAAGCCAAGTATTTGGTAAAGGGGCACTTGAGGAAGCCGGTCTCCATCAGCTGGCACTCACCACCCCCCCACCCCCGCGGACCGCCGGCCAGAAGTGAGTGGGTCTGCATTTCCAGCCTGCGACCACAATACACCGCGTCTTGTCGGCCGCCCCTCTGTGCGGGGCCACCTGCCACGCGCCGCACCTGGGGCCGCTGCCCTGTCTTCACCCGCTTCTCCCTGGGGTGTGTCTCACCCCCGCCGGCGTGTCAAGCGCCTGGGGCAGCCTCCCGCCCAGCGTGCCCGCCTGTTGTCACGTTCCAATTCCCACGAACAGCCACACAGGCACGACACGACCACACTTGCGCAACCTTCGAGCTATAAAGGTCTGGATTATTATTTGCTAAATCCCTCTTTTCAGATCGCTGCGTGGAGTCGTCCCCTCCTCTCCTTTCTCCCGATTCCGTAACCTTGAAGTTACCCCCGCGGACGCCGGAAGGACCCCGTCCCTTCCCCGAGGAGGGCACCGCGCACGCCCCTCCCGCGCGTTAACGGGGCGCAGGGGTCCCCCCAGCGCCCGGGCCCGGGGTGGGGGGTGGCCAGGGCCCGCCGCCTACCTGCGACAGAACGTTCTCCTGGTTGTCCGCCTCGTTCTGCAGGGTCGCGTCCTCCGTGGGCGCCACCGTCGGCGCGTCCGGGGTCCCGCCCGTGCCGGCGGGGGTCACGCTGGCCCCCCACCGGGCCCTGGCCACAACCAAAGCGCCGCAGACGAGCAGCAGCAGGGGCTTGGCCATGAGGGACGCGGGCAGAGGGGCTGCGCCCGTGGGAGAGCGGCGGGCTCGGGCTGCGGGCTGGCACTGAGGCCCGGGAGTGGCCGCTCAGAGCGCCTGCTGACGCTGGGCGCGGCCGAGCGCGGCGGGAGGGTGCGCCCCCGAGCCCCGGCTCATGTCCTCCCCGGCGCGAGCGGCCGCGACTGTGCGGCCCGGGCCGCGAGCGGGGCGCGGGGCGGGGGCACCGGGGGGGCGGGGCGGGGGGCGGCGGCACCCGGAGCGAGCGCGGCGTCCGCGCGAGGGCTCAGGTGGCAGGCGGGGCGCCGGGCGCGCGGGGCGCGCGGGGGCGGGGGCGGGGCGGCGCGGGCGGAGGGAGGGAGGCGGGGCGGGGCCTCCATTGTGCGCGCGGCCCGCCCCTCCCGGCCCCGCTCGGCGCCCCCGCGGCCGCCGCCGCCACCCCCATCACGCGCGCCCACCCCCGCCTCCCACGAAGTCTGGGGTCCCCCGTGCGGTTCCGGCCGGCGGCCGCGCGCCCCTTGACTCGGAGGCGGGCCGCGGGCGCTCGCTCGAGCCCGAGCCCCTCTGCTCCGCGCGCCCCTTTCCGTGCACCCGGGGGAGAAGGAGCCTGGCGCTCGGCACCTCTCTTCCCGGACCGGGCTCGCGGCGCGAGCTCCGGCAGCTTTGAACTTAGCGCCACTGGTAGCCCGCCCGCCGGCCGCGGCGTCGCAGCCTGGCAATACCTCCACCCAGAGGATGGCCGCTGAACTCCCTGCCGGATCTGTGTGTCCGATTGCCAAGGCCGTGGCTGTCAGTCGCGGACACTGCGCCGGTCCCCGTGCGGGCAGCTGCTGCCCGAGAATCCAGTGATTGTCCGAGGGAACCGCCCTTGCTGTCTACCTGCTTCGGGACAGGTGTCAGAGTCTCGCCACGGCATCTCCAAGACGGCGTCCACTTTCAACAGCGTGCGATTGTGTTACAGCGTCCCATAATTAGTGTCTCTTTTCGGGGGGTCCGGGGGGCCCAGTCCGTTGAGTGTGGGGCTTCAGCTCAGGTCGTGATCTCACCGTGAGTTCGAGACCCGCATGGAGCCCCTCATCGGCTTGCTGCTGTCCGCGCAGGGCCCGTTTTGGATCCTCTGTTGCGCCCCGCCACTCACCACCACTTTGGATTCCCTGTCCCCCACTCTCTATGTCCCTCCCCTGCTCATTCTCTCTCTCGCTCAAAAATAAACATTAAAAAATTTTAGTGTCCCTTTTTGTGAACCTACTATAAAGATTAAAGATTAAATAATGTGTGAATTCAAGGAAAGGCACTCTGCCTTCCAGGACCACTGTCATCCTGAAAGTACTGAACAGAGCCAGACCCCTTCACAGAATTTTTTTTTTAATGTTTTATTTATTCCTAGGAGAGAGAGAGACAGCGTGAGCAGGGGAGGATCAGAGAGAGAGGGAGGGAGTCACAGACTGAAGCAGGCTCCAGGCTCTGAGCTGGCAGTCAGCACAGAGCCCGACATGGGGCTCGAACCCACGAACCGCAAGATCATGACCTAAGCGAAAGTCGGACGCTTAACCGACTAAGCCACCCAGGCGCCCTGAACCTTGCTGGTACATTTTAAAGAACAATGCCTAAGAAGACCATAATCCCTTAGAATCAAATGAATCATAAGACTTGTCTACATTTCTACTCATCTGTTTGCATACTTACCTATTGGCAAGCATAGCTCCATCAATTTCTGAGAAAGTTTTGGCCATTAAAACCCAAGCAAATTCCCCATCATATTTATATTGACCTAAAAAATATTGAAATAAAATTTCAACTGCTTTTTTCTCTGTGAGCCCTTAATCCTTTTATATCTTTGGTGACTGATCGATTCCTGGGTTTCCTCTACTTTGTTGGTGATTAGTTTGTTACTCTCAATATATTTTACCATGCTTTTTCTTTTGATAGTTCTTACTGCTTATGGATGATGATTGTAGCAGATTATATTATAGCCACAGGGTTTTAAAAATACCTTTAAATACACACATCCCTCCACCCCCAAGAAAAAACTCTGAAACTTGGTCTCCGATTAGGGCAGCCTTTGTTCTTAACTTCCTGAACCCATGTCCATAGGTGGTGTATATGAACAGGTGACTATCATGTCAGATGGCCAGTGTTCCTTACATATTTTAAGGCTCCAGGGCCTAGAATTGGAATATTAGCTGAGCTGGNAAAAAAAAAAAAAAAAAAAAAAAAAAAAAAAAAAAAAAAAAAGAAGTGCCGAATGTTGGCTAAGCACAAGACAACAAACGAGGTTACTAGATATTGAATGGGAAGATAAGAATGTCCATGTTTTCCAGAAGGAGTGGGGTGAAAGTGACGCGCTAAGCAGCATAAGTGCTCGAATGTAAGGCAGGGTGAGAGCATTTGCCAAGGAGATTCAAGGAGGTATAGGCCACTTGTAGCTGAAAGGTCAGGGCTTCACGGAAGAGGGTCTCTGGGCATGTCTGGGTTTACGGAAAGGCTTCAACAAGGGACAAGATAAGTCATCAAGACGTAGGCAAGAAAGAGAGAGCACTGTGGGCAGAGACCCAAGCCTGAAGTGGATATTCAGACCTCAGACTGCTCCCTTCTCAGGGAAGACCTTCCGGACTCCAGTATCAGGGCAATTCCTCCCGTAGCATTCGTACCTCTGCCTCACAGAATTATGCGAATTACTTAATCATAAGTAGTTGAAGCCAGACCTTGCTACGCTTTGCCCATTCTCTTTTGCCAGATATTCAATTCACCAATCTTTCTTGTAGCTGGGGGCAGCCACATGATTCGGTTCTGGTCAGTAGAATAAAATATACCTATGGAGTCTAGAAAAGATATTTTGCCTCCTGGTCAAAGAAACAAATTAGAGAGAGGAACTTTCTGGTGCCCCAGGAAAGCTTATTTCCTGTGTTTGATTGTAGTCATGATGCCGGGAGCTGTGGCAGCCATCTCACGACCGTGAGGCCTTTCTCCTATTGAACTGAAACAGATCTCCTTTGAAAGTTTCTTTTTAAAGTTCAGTCCTGGGGTGCCTGGGTGGCTCAGTCGGTTGAGCGTCCGACTTTGGCTCACGTCATGGTCTTGCGGTTTGTGGATTCGAGCCCCGTGTTGGGCTCTGTGCCAACAACCAGCTCAGAGCCTGGAGCCTGTTTCAGATTCTGTAGCTCCCTCTCTCTCGGACTCTCCCCTGCTCACGCTCTCTCTCTCTCAGAAATAAATAAAACATTAAAAAAGATAAATAAAGTTCAGCCCTGGGGTGGCTCCATTGGATGAGTATCAGATCTTGATTTCTGCTCAGTTCATGATCCCAAGGTCAAGGGATTGAGCCCTGGGTCAGGCTGTGTTCTGAGTGTGGAGTCTGTTTGAGATTCTCTCTGTGCCTCTGCCCCTCTCTCCATCACCTCCTCTCCCCCTCTCCTTCTCTCCCTCCTCCCACTAGCTGTAAAAAAAATTTTTTTTTAATTTTTAATTAAAATGAAGTTCAGTCCCATGGTCGTACGCAGAACACATCTAAGACCTTTCCCACAAGAGAGTTTTTCTTTCACTTAAATATAGAAACTGAGTACCTTCTGAATCTCCTTCTTTTTCAAGCTAACTAACTAACCAGATAACTAACTCTCCTTGTATCTCCATTTTATTCACCTGTTTCTCAGACCACCTGGTCTTTCGTACCTTCCATCATTCCAGTTATATTTTCTCTAGAGAGGTTTGAGTAGGTGTTACGGCATATTGAAACTACTTTTGCTCTTTTCCTGAGCACTGCTGTCTTATTACTATAGCCCGAGATTGCTTTGCCCTTTTGGCATTATGTTGCACCAATGATTCACAGTAATTTATTTTTTAAATACAGCTTTTCTTTTTCTTTTTGTTTTAACATGAATTCTATACTGGTTTCCTCCATCCTGTGCTTTCCAGCTATTTTTTTTTTTTTAATCCAAGTACAGGCCTTTATATTTTTTCCCACTGATTATTATCATGTTTTTGGCCTATCTTTTCATTCTGTTGAAATCTTGCTGTTTTTCCACTTGAGTTTTCCAAATTAAACGAGCATGGTTTCTGTCTTAATTCAAATAATTAATTTTAATAAGTCATATTCATTCGAATACAGCTAGATTCTAGAGCCCTGTCCCCATAATAGGAAAAGTATTTCCTTATTGATAGTAACTCCTCTGGTATGTGGGAGTCTGGGCACTCAGAGGTGCTCGTGCCGAGCCCCCGAGTCTTCCTCAGGTCTACAAGCGTTTCTCGGGAGACTTTGATCGCCTACCTTTCAGAAATCAAGATACACTGCCCATGGCGTTCCTTCCACCTGCCAGTCTGATAACCTGATTTGAAGATCCTGAGGTGAGCTTGGTTTGGCTTTCGAACATCCAAGCTGATGTGCTGTAAATTCCTTAGCATCCTTTGCTAAACATATGCAGATTCTACTTCACTTGATCTTCAGCAGATTAGTGTCAAATAGGTATCGCTCTCCCTGTTTAACAGATGAAAACTCTGAGGTATTAAGATAATGAGATGGGGGTGCCTGGGTGGTGCAGTTGGTTGAGTGTCCGGCTCTTGATTTAGGCTCAGGTCATGATCCTGTGGTTTGTGGGACTGAGCCCACGTCAGGCTCTGTGCTGGTAGCGCAGAGCCGGCGTGGGATTCTCTCCATCTCTCGATGCCCCACTCCCCCCTCAAAAATAAATAAATAAGCTTTAGGGGCGCTTGGGTGGCTCAGTCAGTTAATCGTCTGACTCTTGGTTTTGGCTCCGGTCATGATTTCACTGCTTCTTTGTAGATTCAAGCCCTGCATTGGGCTCTGTGCTCTCGGTGAGGAACCTGCTTGGGATTCTCTCTCTCTGTCTCTTCCCCCCTTGAACTGTCTCTGTCTCTCTCAAAAATAAATAAACTTAAAAAATAAATAACCTTTAGGGGTACCTGGGTGGCTCAGTTGGTTAAGTGTCTGTCTTCGGCTCAAGTCATGATCTTGTGGTTTGTGGGTTTGAGCCCCCACATTGGGCTCTGTTCTGACAGCTCGGAACTTGAAGCCTGTTCGAATTCTAGGTTTCCTTCCATCTCTGCTCCTTCCCTACTTGCATTCTCTCTCTCTCTCTCAAATATAAATAAAAATCAAAAAATTATTTTTTTATATTAAAATTTTTTAAATATTTATTTTGAGAGAAAGAGGGAGACAGATCATGAGTGGGGGAGGGGCAGAGAGAAAGAGAGAGAGAGACAGAATCGGAAGCAGGCTCCTGGCTCTGAGCTGC